ATAAAAAAAAAAAATTGATGACTTTATAATATTACTTAATTCAATTTATCAAAATTTAAAATGTTTTAGTTAAGAAATAAAAGCTATTCAGTATTTGATATTTTAATATCCTATATTAATAATATATTTTGCTTTAAATTATTAAAATAGTAATATAGAAAGCAATTTACAAATCAATAAGTTTAAAGTGGGTCCCCAACAAAACCCAAAAGAAGAACAAATACGAAAAATACTTATACAATTGTTAGAATTAGATAGGTACAGGTAGTCATAAATAAAATGAAATAGTTAATACTACTAATATAATWAAAATTTAATATTGAAGCCATTATGCTGTTGAACAGCAGTTCTGAAATTTTTCCCAGAGCTGCTCTWTCTTGAACCGATTTCAACCACAGTGATCTGTAGTGAATACTATGAGAAACATAAAAATTAAATGAACACTAACCATTTTCATTGATTTTCAATTTTTATACTTTTATTGAATATCATACAATTTATAATCACTTTAAACATACACAGCCAATCTAAAATTGACATATTTTTATACTTATAATAAATAATAAATATGATTTTTAAACATTCATATTTTAGCATTGTAACTAATTAAATGTAATTATGTAAATGGCTGTTAATGTTTGTAAAATTTAAAAATGTCAGGTTTTGTTGTTTTAATATTTTAAACTAGTCAGCAATTGGATTCCGAGYGTTGAGACAATTGTGGTACCTATTAGGTAGTTGCAGTGTAGGTAAGAAAATTGTGATCTACATTTTTATAAGATTCAATTTGAAGTAACAAAAATCAAAAAATAATGTCTGGCGACCATGGAAAGTGCTTATAGTAAGGTTTGGGAACCACTACTATAAAAATCGAGATAAAAATTGATCAGGTAACTGTTGATTTTCTACTTAGATTATATTATTTTATGGATTAATCCATGTCCCAATAATTTGAAGCTTACGTCAATGAAAAGTTTCCGAAGGAGATGCTTGATGTGCACAAAGAGAAATTTTGCATATTTATTCATCTTAGTTCATGATACAAATATAACCCAATAGCAATATGTGACAATTYACCTCAGGAAAATGTACATCAAGCATCTCAGTCAGACTCCTMACTATAATAATATCTATGAGCTTCAAATTGTTTACACAGACAAGATGGGCAAAAAGTTAGACATATCACCATTTACCTGGATTAATATCTGATGAAACAACCAAACATCTACCCATTGATTCTGAATACTTCATTTTAACRAATTTGGACAATGCTGGAATATTTTTATTTGGACCTCCAAATAATTTAATTACATTTAGTGTATCTTCCTTATTATTTTTCTCATTTATATTAGTTTCCTTTAAAAACTTTTTCATTTTCATTTCGATGTCTTTTTTTTTGTCTTTGGATACAGTGGCTAGAGTTAAATGGGACAAAAATTCCTTAAAAAAAAAAAATAAATAAATAAATAAAATGTTCAGTGTTATTTCTCTTAAAAGTGTTTGATATATTTACTTTAAATTTTAATTTGGCTTGTGATAAATTTCCTATATGTTTTAGACATTTTACTTCTCTTTCATATAACTTATATGACAGTTCAGTTGGATATTTATTTGCTAAAGCACAGTGAATGTYTTGGATACAAGCATCATATTCTTTTAGATGATAGAGGGCAGCTGAACGATTTGCCAAAGCCAATGCGTAGTCTTCACTATTGATTTTTGCAGTCATAACACTTTTATTGTACTCATAAAAAGCAGAGTTATACTCTCCATTTTGAAACTTAATATTTGCATCGACTCTAATTTGTCGAGCTTTTTTGTTATTTTTGGGATTTGTCAAGTTACATTCCGTAGGTAATCTATTATATTTTTTTAGTAGATTATAAGTGTATAGAAATTTATCTGCAGCAGTAGGYAACTTTGCAAACGTAATATACACCTCACCCATGATTTCGTTTTTTTGAAAACATTCCGTATAGAACAACCGATCGATTTCGGAAGACATAATACCGTCGTTAAACACATTCATAACGTCAATATCRGAAAACATGATGAATAAATATGAAACGTAAACAGTACACGCGATACGATAATTGTCAACAATATTTGAAAACGTTAAATAAATAAACAATAAATGCGGTGAATATAATATGTTAGGAACCGGTATGGAACACAATGAGCTGCGCAGTCTATAATAAAATGGTGATGAAATCGAATATGTAACACAATACGCACTGTTAACTAATGAAAATTAAACAACTAACATWTTTTGCAAACATCTTCGAGTCGTCCAAACTGCTCAATCTCAACCGTTACAAGAAACAATTGCACAAATCAAACGCAACCGGAGATTACTCAAGCTATTTATTGATTATTTGGTGAAAAAAGTTTTAGTCACAAATCACRAATCAACCACCGAAAACTGTTGCATTATAGTCTATAGAGTGTTGTTTCTACCATGAACTGTAAAATGTTCAACAACCGTCGACTATATTTAATCCATTCTGTGGTCGAGCAGTTGACGATAAACGAGACTGTGACTAAATTACAAAATGACTGATTTCTCGGTACCTACTTTAGATCTTGGATATATTTGGGCATCATGCCATCCAGACGCCTCTGATCATCAGTTCATCACTCCATCCAATTTAATCAGCATAGCAACACAGAATGATACAGYMTCTGCTTGGTATTTTATTCTGTGTATAAACTGTGTATAAATATAGAATTAGAATTGTATAATTTAAAATATTGAATAGGAAAACACGGAAACCTAAAACAAAATAATAATATGTTTATATCTATACTATTATATGTTCGTGGTCTACATAAATAAAAATATCTATTTATGTTTTGGTCCGACAGTGTTGCCAATGCTTTACCATATAATGATTTAATTTGGTACATCAAAAAAGCGATTATTCCATGATGAGAACATTATCATTTTCGTCGGATGACCACGATTTGGTAAACACAACCACAGCGGCACAACGCACAACAGAAGAGAGATTAGCACTACTGCTAGTTTGCTATAACTATATATTAGGACAATCGCTGTTATTTAAACGTTCACGAACGACACGGTCGCACAACATATTATATTAATTGAAAATTCCAATAAAATTAATATCAATACTCGATCACTTTCTGCGATTTATATAATAGTTGAACTATTATACACCGTTCGAAATAATGGGATCATCTAAACACAAGAAGAAGGACAAGAAGAAACGACATCATTCCAGCGATTCGTCGGACGGTGACTTATCGTCAAAACACAGAAAAAGAAGACATCCATCTAGTGATTTGTCTGATGTTGATGTATCCAATAAACATAAAAAACACAAGAAACATCATAAGAAAAAAGAAAAGCCAAAGGACAAACATGCTAAGTATCACAGTTCAGGCAAGTTATTTTGTTAATATATATTCAACCAAAAGGGGGTTAAGAATCTACCAGAGCATTAAAGGATGGTTTTTTATTTTACCTTTTCTATATTAATACGATATCTAGATACCAATTTGTATCATTTATTAAATTTTGCAGGAAGCTTTATAGTGGAAATAACATTTTAAATAATATTGTAGATGTACCTTTGCAATAGTTAATTTGCTTATGATCCTAGCAACCAAATCCTATTTTTTTCAAAATTAGAAAAATACATTCTATTCATATACATACATTATTATTATGATTAGGTTTATTATAATTGAGAATAGTACCTAATAAATTAAATATTTTTGAAATAATTTTTATGAAAAAATGTRTATTATAAAGTAAATAGAAAATACATACTCATTAGGTATATTTATATTTATATGTACATAATAATTTTTTTTTATCTTATAATTTAGATGATGATGTTATTTTTGTACCACCGCCTCCAAAAATATCTCGAGATGAGGTTCGCACTCCTCCGCCTCCAAGTCTCACACCTCCGCCTCCTCCTTCTATATCATCAGCTGCAGATAGTCTGTCAATTGAAGAAACAAATAAAATTAGAGCTAAATTAGGCTTAAAGCCATTGCAGATGGATAATAAAGAAACTACCAAAAGTAGAGATGATGGATTAGAAGTTATTGCTGGCGATGAAGGCGAATTTGTTCATAAACCTGCATGTAATAGACAATTTTAATTTAAAAAGTATTTATTCTTGTATTAACTATTTAATTTTTTAAATAATTTAGTAAGCTTAACAGAAAAAAATAAAAGCGATAAAATAAAAGCAAGAATAGCAGAGAAAAAGGAAAAACGTATGATTGAAAACAAAATATTAAATGTTAAAAAGTTAGCAGACAGTGATTCAGAAGAAGATGCAGTTAGTTGGGTGAAAAAAACAAAAACTATTCAAGATGAAATGGAAAAAGCAAAGAAAAAGGTGACTAATTACCTTCTTTTTTGTTATTACTGAATATTTTATTATTATTTTTTTTTTGGGACTGATTTTTCAGCAATGTTTTTGTTTTGTCAAAAGGCCCAAGAATTGGAAGAAATGGACAATGTATTTGGTGTTGGCAATCTCATAGAAGAAAGCACCAAAAGTGAAATGAAAAATTTTTATTCAAGCAAACATTTGAAAGGATTAGAAGTTCAACACTCAATGGTATGTTACACAAATGATCCAAATTTTTGTATTTTATACATATTTCTTCATAATTATTGTTTAGGATGATTTTACTGAAGGAAAAGAAGTTATTTTGACATTACAAGATAAAGATGTATTAGCAGAAGATGCAGATGTCTTGGTCAATGTTAATATGGTTGATAATGAATCATATAAACAAGTAATAATACAATTTTGAAGTACATTAATTATGGACAACTATCTAAAATAAAATACTTATATATGTTTTCTATTTGCTATGTAGAATATTGATAGACGAAAGCAACGACTCAATTATAGTGGTTATGATGAGTTAGAAGAAATGGATATTGACAGCCCAAGTGTAGTACTTGGAAAATATGATGAAGAAATTG